TCAGCTCAAGGTAAGCACTCTGCCATTTGAGCCACAGCACCACTTCAGTTTCTGCTAGCTTATCGGAGATAAGAGTCTCACAGATCTTTCCTGTCCAGGCTGGCTTTGAACCGCGATCCTCAGATCTCAACCTCCTGAGTAGCTAGGATGACAGTTGTGAGCCACTGGTGCCCGGCTTATAGTTTTGATATGCGTTTTCCTAAGATGACTAGTGATGTTAGGATTTCATATGCATATTTGCCATTTATATATATTCTTAGAAGAAATGTCTATTCAAAATCTTTTGCCAATGTTTGATTGAGTTGCTAGTCATTTTCTTGTTGAGTTATGTGTTCTTTTAAAATAAATTCTAGGGGCTGGGAAGGTGACTCAGTGGTAGAGTGCTTGCCTTGCATGCCTGAGGCCCTGGGTTCGATTCCTCAGCACCACATAAGCAAAAAGCCAGAAGTGGCACTGTGGCTCAAGTGGTAGAGTGCTAGCCTTGAGCTGAAGAGCTGAGGGACAGCGCCCAGGCCCAGAGTTCAGGCCCCATAACCGGACCAAAAATAAATAAATAAATAAATAATAAAATAAATTCTACACATACACCTCCATGTTCATTGCAGCACTGCTCATAATAGCCAAGCTATGGAAACAACCCAGATGCCGCACTATTGATGAGTGGATCCAAAAACTGTGGTACGTATATACAATGGAATATTATGTAGCCATTAGAAAGGACAAAATAATGGCATTTGCAGGGAAATGGATGGAACTAGAGCAAATGATTTTGAGTGAGGTAAGCCAAGAGCAAGAGACAAATGGCATATGGTCTCCCTGATATGCAGATGTGAAAGCCAAAATGCAAGGAGATATGACAAAGTAAACAGGACTTGAGAAACAAAGGACTGCCACTCATTTTGTCATGTCATTGCTAAATGACTCCATGTTCTTGACCATATATGCATACATATATGCATACAACAGAGGGAAGCTAGGAGTTTCCCACAGAATCAGTGAGAAACAGGAAAATATACAACAGAAGGGCCCATCAGCTGCAAGTGAACTAAGCAACCCAAAGACAGCGAGGAGAAGGGATGAATGAGAGGGAAAGAGGGAACAGCCTACACTAAACAAAAGGAAAGAAATGTAAAAATCACCTGGTGTGGAAGAAAAAAATTGTATTGTCAAAGCTCATAGAATTCACAAACTTTATAGACCATGATAATGACAATTTGTCTTGTGAAGGTTAAAATGTGTTTGTGACTAAGTATCACTATTCCACACTACTGTGAAATATGTGAAATTTATGTAAAGACCTAATCTCAATTTTTTTTTTTTTGGTTCCAGTCGTGGGACCTGAACTCTGGGCCTGGGCGCTGTCCCTGAGCTCTTCAGCTCAAGGCTAGTGCTCTACCACTTGAGCCACAGTGCCACTTCCAGCTTTTTGCTTATGTGGTGCTGAGGAATCGAACCCAGGGCCTCAGGCATGCAAGGCAAGCGCTCTACCACTGAGCCACCTTCCCAGCCCGACCTAATCTCAATTTTAAAAAAAGAAGAAAAGAAAAGTTTGAGAAGGGGTGGGTTAGGAGCGATGGGTGACAATGCTGCCAGACACTTTGTATTCACATACTGCTTTATAGAGTGGGAACTTCTTTGTACAACTACTTAAAGATAATAAAAATTAAAAATAAAATAAATTCTAAACACTAATGAATTATTAGACAGGTATCTCACAGGTCTAAAGATATATTTTGCAATTATTTTCCCAGAATGTAGTTTTTTCTTTTTTAAAATTAACTGCTTAATTAATTATTATTCTAGGTGGTAATGGAACTGAATTCATGGCATCATGCTTGCTACTCAGTCACTTCCCCACTTGAGCCATTCCTCTAAACTATTTATTTCTTTTTCTTAACAACATATTCTGAACTGTATGTTTTAAATATTTTTTTTTTGTCAGTCATGGGGTCTGAACTCTGGGCTTGGGCACTGTCCCTTAGCTCTTCAGCTCAAGGCTAGTGCTCTACCACTTGAGCCACAGAGCCACTTCCAGTTTTTTCTGCTTATGTGGTATTGAGGAATTGTACCCAGGGCCTCATACATGCAAGGCAAGCACTATACCACTGAACCACCTTCCCAGTCCTGCTTTAAATTTTGACAAGACCCATTTGATTAATTTTTCCATGATTATATTTCCTTATATTTATGGTCAGTTGTTGACTGGTAAGAAGAAACCCAATAAACAGATATTCAATAAATAGTCTAGAACAATTGGATAGACACATGCACAAAAGATATTTAGAGTCTTATTTCATTAGGACACACAAAAATGAACTCAAAATGTCTTCTGGACTAAACTATAAGAGCTATAATACTAAAACCTTTAGAAGAAAACATGGAAAATTTCAATACCTTGGATTGGAAAAAAATATTTTCCTCTATTTTTTTTTTGAGACAACATCTCACTCTATATGCTGGCTCCAAACTCTCACTTCTCCTCTCTTCGCTTCCTGGAGTATGGTGGGATTACTTGTGTTTGCCAAAACACCTGGCACTTTTCCATCTATTCTTGAATTGTGCCCTTATTTGAACAATCTCTGTATCAGTATATGTGTATAATGTATACATAACACAAAAAGATAAATACATAGAGAGTTCAAGTAAGCAAATGAGAAAAATAAGTCTCTGAGATTGGTGACAAAATTTGAGTTATCAAAAAATGTTGAATTATCAAAAATGTTGAAAGCAAATGAGAAAGGAATAAGTAGCAAGCCAATAAGTATAGAACATTCCAGAGCTTGTCAAATGGTACTCTTGATAAGATGTAAGTAGGAAGGCAATCCCTTCTTAAAATTCTATGAATTGTGTGTACTTAACTTTCAGGATCTTCATTGATTACAGTCATTGACTGCAGATTAAGATTAAGGAAAAAACAATCTCATATAGAAAAGTGAATCTTACAGTTAGATGCTACATATCCTAAAAGTTGCATAATATTGTCATAGTGATACCACAATGTTTACATTCAACAAATGTCAGAAAAATTACTGTCCATGTACCTATAAACATAAATTCATCAATGTGAAAGTTTTAGATTCAAAACCTTACTTACAAAGGTATTTCCTTTTAGTAAATTCTCTAGATTGCACCTAAGATTGTTAATAACTAGTTTCATGGTCAGTTACTTCTTATGCCTCTACAGGGAACATGCAAGGATATTAGACTAATACTTGGCCAGTTTTGTTCACTGTGAGTCAGTCAGTGACCTTCTCCCTCTCTGTTGCCTCCATCTCTTCATGGCTCTGGGGGCCTGAATGTTTCCAAAAGCCCTATTTCTTCTTTCAGAAAAATATTTTTTTCAAAATATATTTCCTGGTATGACTAAAATTGTATTATTAGATATTGACATTTTAATAACTTTTCATTATTTCCAGGTACAACTTGTTATTTAAGGCAACCATCTTTCCCCTTAGGAACGCTAACATGTTTTGTTGCTTTTTAATCTCCTCTATTTAAAGATGGATTTTAAATCATTGAAGTTGTCAGTGCAGTACAGGAACCCTGCCTTATAGCATATGATAAAATTCTTAGAACATAATAGAAACTTGGTGCATTTTTGTTTAAATGAGCCAAACATTAATTTTTTTATACTGGTTTAAAGTTTTAGCCCTATGACTTAGGGAAAGATAGGGGAATCCATCAAAATAATAAAAATAATATTCTAGGAGGACAAATAGATATGTCTTCAATGTAATAAAGGCTAATCTTACAATGACAAGAGCCAAATGCCATCTGTTTTGCTTTTTGAATACCTAATGACATGATGTCTCTCTCTTAGATTACAGGATCTATCTACATCTTCTGAACAGCTTAAAACACATTTTTTTATCCAGAATGAAATTTTCCTAATGCAGGCACATAGTGAGAAGTGCTACAAATAAAATTAGCTTGTTCCTTCTTGCATTATTGCTAACTTTATTCATTAAAAAAACAATTAATTTATTAGCTCATTAGAAACTCACATAAATTTGAAAGTTGTATGCTAAGTAGTGAATAAAGATATCTTTTGAGTTGTGGTTGAATGGATACTGGTAAGGCACATATGCATATAAGTTTGCATCTCACATGGGTAAAATGGTATAAAAAAGACAAAACAAGTGTGTTGAAAACATAATTCACAAATTTTTTAAACACTTTCATTGCCTAAAATACAACTGTACAGATTCTGAATCATTTTTCTCAATTGCTATCTGCTGTGCTGTTTTCAATTACAACTCTCTACTTGTCAGACACCTGGAGCCATCCAGTCCCACCTGCAGACTTATCTTGACCTCAGGGTCTAGACCAGGGCTCCATACTGGAAGAATTCTTTAGAAGCCTTGGAAGAGTAGCAAATCTGCTTGGTATCAGATCAGCCATTCTGCATTCAGGCCCTGATACTGTAAACTGGTCTCAGGCACTAAAACTTTGTCTGGTTATGTGTAATCAAGCCCTTTTATTGTACCATTAGAAACTAGATTCTGGATTTATATAGCTTCATAATCCTACCTTAATGCCTTACTTTTCATTCTCACACACACACACTTTTTTTTAAGACAGGGTCTCACTATGAGCATTATTATTACAGGCATAGTATTACAGGCATAGGGTATAATAACACACTGGGTCTGGGACCGTACTTTGTATCTAGGTGTTTACTACTATCTTTAATATTCTATGGGCTTAGGTAGAGTCCTATCCTGGGAGTCCAGTCTTCGTGAATCTGTCGCAGTACATTCCACTTGATAGCTGTGATGTCTGGGTTTCTCCTTATTGCCTATGGTCAGACCCTTCTAGCATCACATCCTATGGTTGAGGTAAGTTTCCTACCAATTGTCAGTTCCTGTTTCTATTCTCTGTATACCACTGGTGGAACCAATAGGACTTGAGTCCTATTCATCCAAAGATTGAGTTCTAACAAGTAATATTTGTTTGGACTTAAGTCCTGGTCATAAATGACATAAGAAAGTGACTCATACCTGTTTGAGTGAATCCTGTTTTGTATCCATTAGTTGTTCCATTTTCTGGGGTCACAGTTGATGACACAGAAGAGTTTGGTTTAATAGAATGACAAGTAGCAGAGGATTGTCGGCTTCTACATTCTGGAAAGAAAAACCACATTATATGAACAGGTCAATATTCTGTTTAAACAAGTAATGGAGACATGATCCATAAAATCTCTTAAACAAAAAGCTACTCTTTAGATAGCAGTGGCTTCCTTTATGAGTGAGATATCACCTTCCCCTAACCCTGACTCCAAACAGTATAGAATGTTCAGCTAGGAGGACTGTTGTTCCTAGGACCAGATGTCATGCTTGGAAGGAAAAAACAATCAAGCCTTTGTTTCCCACAGATTAGTCCTCTGGGGAAAAATCCTCATAACCAATGTAGCTATATTAGTTTTATGGGTAAGAGAGAGGCTGAAATATCAATAACATAAAAAACCTGATAAACTTTTCAAAAACCAGTTAACCTCCTGTCCAGGATTTGTTTAAGTGTAGAACAGTAACTTTGATTCTGTCTAATCTGCTTTCAATATTTTCTACTCAATCTTAATTTATGTCCAAATATAGAAGTAATAAAAATGCAAAGACGATTAAAAAATTATAAATTCTTAATGTTTCCCTTCTTATTTATAGAAATAGCAGGCATAAATTGATTATTAATCATGCACTTCACAATTGCATATTAAGTATCTGTTGTTGGGATACTGGTATAATACATTAATAACACTTTGTACTGATATAGGTAGGTAGTGAAGTCTATAACCATTAGTGGATCATTAGTTCCAACTAAATTATAAAAATCATGTGAAATAGAAGTATATAAATAGTTGTAAATGAAAAATTAATATTAGAGGGTTCTAGGAAGTTTCCAAGTTTGCAAGAGCTAAGGGAAGTCTTCTCAAGGGCTTCTATAAAGAGATACTGTATTTTGGTCTAAAAACTCCAGGTTATTAGATGCATTGATATTATGTTTACATACATAAACAATTCTAGTTTCAAAATAGCAACTTCTACATACACAAGGTTTCTCAAACCTTTGAACAGCAAGAAGTTAAATATATTTCATATTTCTTCTCTTTAATTAGGGTTTATGACATTCAAAGCTATTTTCCTACAGGAAAAATCTTCAGACTTTATTAAGAATGTTATCTATAATTCACCAGGTTTATGAGTCAAGATTCAAGTTCGGATGATACCTTGCTTGGAACACAAACCCATTTCCTAAGGAATTACATAAATGCCACTTCAAATGCAAGCAAGAGTAATTACAGTGAAGGACTCAAGAGACAAATATATTGCAATTTAGATATACTCTGCTATTGTTTGTGGTCAGACAACAGTCATATATAGGCAACAAACAGAAACATTAAGGAATTATTTTATGGAAGAAAAAATCTTAGCATCTAAGAAACTGCTGAATAAACTCAAATGCATTGCAACAATGCACAGACATTGTACATTGTAGCAGTTTCTATCAAGCACATGAAGATGTGAAATTTCAACTGGATTTATTTGTAAGAATAAGTTAGGTTCTTCCTAATTTAAAAGGACCAAAACTTTGTCAACTTAATAGGGCAGTTTCCCTGACATTATAAAGACTATAGTATTTATTCCAGGTAGGTTCTGGACAAATTAAAATAGAAAAATATAGATCCTTGAAAATTATCAAAGAATTAAAGAAAAACTGAGTATCTGACACTTTGAAGTCCTCTCTAAATGAAAAGAGACCTAGAAAGTGTTGCTTATTTTCTCCCCTAAGAACTGCACTGCTTCCCAAAAGTCAAATGCAGACATGTACTTCCCTAAATATATCCTTTAAAAATAAAAGGATCAAGTCAATAACCTACTAAAGGGTTTCACATTTTTGGAGAGCCTCTGAACTTGAGCTCTTTATCTATATCACACCTGTACTCTGAACCCTGTAAGAGTCACTTGTCGCCAACACTCTATCTCCATTCCCTCCTCTTCCCCTCCAGGAATTTGATTACCTTTCCAGCAGATAAGAGGTCCCTTTGACAGTACACCCTGGGAGGTTCTGACTAGGTAGTACTTTAAGTGCTTCTGCTTCTTAGGCTGAGTGGTGAGCTTCAAGTTAATATGGTTGGAAAATTCCGTGAAATACCGAAATCCTCTTTCTCCACAGCCGATACAATTTCCAGAAAACCCTGGAATGAGGAAAACCAATGGTACTGGTGGCCTTCTAAGTTGACACAATTTCTTTGTATAATATCCTAATTTTAATTTGTATAATATCTCCTAATTTTAAGGAAATAATTCAAAGGGAAAACTTGGTTAACATTTTTTTTTAGAATTCTTTTTAAAAGAGTAGAAGACTGGATATAATTTAAATGCTGCTCCAACAAGATAATAGATAAGGAAATACAGTAGATAGTATCATGACAGAGGTTATTCCTATTATATATATATATATATATATATATATATATATATATATATATCTCAAGAAAACCTTGGTCCTAGAGACATCGTTTTCTTTTTCTTCTTTTTTTGGGGAAGGGGGGGTCACTCATGGGTTTTGAATTCAGGGCCTGGGTACAGTTGTTCCTGAGCTTTTCTGCTGATGGCTAGCCCTCTACTACAGTTCTACTTCCAGTTTTCTGGTGCTTAATTAAAGGTAATTAAGTCTCATGGACTTTCCTGCTTGGGCTGGCTTTGAACTGCTACTCAGCCTCCTGAGTAGCTAGGGTTTACAGGTGTGAGCCACTAGCGCCCAGTTTCATTATTTTTTCTCATGGATTCCTTCTTAAGAATCTGTCAGTCTTAGTCCTGATTCTCTGCCCAGCCCACTATAAGAACGAGCTGCCATGGCCATAGGTAATAAATCCATGAGCAATATCTGACCAAATGTAAAGCAGAAAAAAATCTTTCTTCTGGGATTTTGCAACAAACAAAGTCAGTCCAATGATACTGGACTCTGCGTTTGTAAAATTTTGTAAAAGTTGTGAAGAGGAAGCTGATCTTCAGAAAAGAGAGTTGATACGGACATCAATGTGCAGATTCAGAACACTCAATTTCAGCTCCTGTGAGATCTAGTTTTACTTTCTGACAGGAGCTCCATGGCATTCTTGCTTCCTGTTTATTCAAACTAGCTTATTTTTCCTTTAGATCTAACATTTGAGCAACTCCTTACCCAGAGTACTCAAACAAAATAAGACTTTTAATGGTCTGGTTCAAACAGGAGGTGTAAGATAGAGAAGATAGATGAAATAGGGAGAATAAGACATTGCTGGAGGCATGGCTCAAGTTGCAGAGTGTCAGTCATGAGCGTGGAGTCAGAACTTAAGGCCCTAAATTCAAGCTCCAGTACTGGTGCATGTGTGTGCGTGTGTGTATGCATGCACACACACACATATGTGTGCACACAGAGCAATGTTTTGCTTTATTGGAAACCAACATTTCAGTTCCCCTTGATATACAAAGGAATAGGCTGGAAGTAACAGTAAGTTCCTTTGGTTGTTTCTGATGAGAACAAAACATATTTGAAGTCTACAGATGAACAGGACAACAGTTGAAGATAAAAAGGTGGCATTCCGGGCTGGGAAGGTGGCTCCGTGGCAGAGCACTTGTCTTGCATGCATGAGGCCCTGGGTTCGATTCCCCAGCACCACATAAGCAAAAAGGAAAAAAGCCAGAAGTGGTGCTGCGGCTCAAGTGGTAGAGCACTAGCCTTGAGCTGAAGAGCTGAGGGACAGCACCCAGGCCCAGAGTTCAGGCACCACGACTGGACCCCACCCCCCAAAAAAGGCGGCATTCCGTAGTGTATAAAGACAATATATCTATATATAAATAAATAACTGAAAATAAATTCACTGAAGTGACACTTTTCAAATCCCTAAACCAACCTGGTATATAATTAACAATGATAAGGAGAAAAGAGAAACATCACAGGATTAAAGAGAATATCTTACAACGTCCTCATTTTAGAATGCTAACAATCAATTCAAATTATCTATAAATATGCAGGCCACTTTATTACTATTCATTCAACAATTATTTATTGAGTACCTATCTTTATGTCAGTCATTTTGTTCAGCATTAGAAAATAAGTCATACAAAAGAGATAATCATAATCTCTAGTCAACTACATAGAACTAATAATTTATTACTGTTACTTTATAAGAAAGGAACAACATAATTTTATAATTCAGATGGATTATATTGGAAAATATTTGCACAGTTCTCAATACCTTGAGGCCAGTGGGCCCTGCCAAAAGTTGTCAATGACTGTCTAATTCACTAAGTTCCTAAACTCATTGATCCACCCATCCAATAAACACTTATACTCTACAGTGTATCAATCACTGTTTCAGGTACTATACATCAGTACTGAACAATAAGACAAAGCCCCTGCCCTTGTAGAACTTACATCTCAAGTGATTCCTGATGAAAAACTGCTTGATCTGTGAGATGGGTATACCTCACCCATACAGAAAAAGAAAGCTATAAGAGGGTTTCGCCTGAAATAATTAAGAACAGGGCTGAAAACTAAGGTGTGTGTGGTAGGTCCAGGTAATTCTGAAATGACTGGTTTCATCTGAATGAACAGCTAGTGAGGTTGGGCTTCATTTTTTATCTTTTCCTTTGTGAATATTCTCTAAGATAAAAAGCAAATGTGAAAGAAGCACTTGCCTGCACCATCTGCAAAAAGAACCTCCATGTTAACGATGACAGCTAACATGTGAAAGAGTTAAATTCCACCACAGTTAGTTGTGACTACTCTTGTGTGGTTTCAGCATGATTAGCCTTAGCTCACAAGAAATAGTACCTTTCCAAAGCTCTTGCTATATCAGTAATGAAAAGTTCCATCTCTTATACCTGAATTACATTTCTAGTTTTCCTGGTGGTCAAGTCTTCCAATCGCATGTTAGATTTGGAGCATGTGCACTGCCAAATAGATTAGTATAATTTTAAATCGATTTTCCTACAGCCTTTGAAATCAGCATGCTTTAACCAAGTTTTAGAAAAATTGATACTGGAGTCCACAAGGGTCCCAGAATACTTGAATCTTTAAAAAACAAATTCTCTAGGGGCTGGGAAGGTGGCTCAGTGGTAGCGTGCTTGCCTTGCATGCATGAGGCCCTGGGTTTGATTCTTCAGCACCACATAAGGAGAAAAAGCCGTTAGTGGCACTGTGGCTCAAGTGGTAGGGTGCTAGCCTTGAACTGAAGAGTTCAGGGACAGAGCCCAGGCTCAGAGTTCAGGCCCTATGACCGACAAATAAAATAAAATAAATTCTCTTAGTGCATACTAAAACTTCTATCATAAGTAAAAACTGTTTTTAGATAATATAGTACTGGACATGTAAAAATCTCACCAATGCACTGATCCAAGAAAAACCTTCTACAGTACTGTTGTACTATATATTTTTCTGTGGAGAAGTGACTAGTGAAACATTATGTCCATTTATACTTAGAAAGAAAAATGTGCCAGGTTATGCAAGGTGGGTGCCTTATAAACAGCTCATCTCATTTTTAGAGCATGAAAGGTAGCTATTATTGGCCCCTTTATGTAGATGAGAAATCTGAGACTTCAAGTTCTTAATCTACTTCAAGTTCCTAAAATACTAGCTGGTAATTCTTATCTAGATAGGTAGATGTAGGCAGACAGAGAGAGAGGGGTCACAATCTTCTTGCCTGAACCTTCCAAGTGCTAGGATTACAGATGGAAACCACCTCACCTAGCTTAAATCTGGGACTTAAATTCAGTTCTGGTTTCAAAGTCTATGGATATTGTATCAGATTGCTGATTATAAAGGAATTTGAGAAGGCACTAGTGGCTCAAGTCTATAGCCCTGGCTTCTCAGGAGGCGAGATCTGAAGATCATTGTTCATAACCAGCCCAAGCAGGAAAGTCTTATCTCCAACTAATCATCTAAAACTGAGAAGTGGAGTTGTGGCCCAAGTGGTAGAGCACTAGACTGAGTGAACACAAAAGCTCAGAGACAGCAACTAGGCCCTGAATTCAAGCCCCAGGACGAGTGCATGTGCGTGCACGCGCGCGCGCACACACACACACAGAGGACTATGTAGTATACTATTCTGATGGTATTTTCTGTGTCTTTGCATGATGTATTATAACAGAATTCCCCTAGTTGTGCAAGAATCATTGACCAAAAAGGGATTATGATTGTTTTCTTTTTCAGTGTCTAGTCAGAGCTGACCTTGATTTATTTCAATAGATTGTAAGGTTTTAAAAATGCTAAAAATGCCATAACAGTTTTACACTACCAACTTGTAAGTTCTGTGAAAGAAAGGATTGTGCCTTATAATTTTGGTGCCTCCAAGTCATTGTGCAGCATTATTTATTTATTTATTTTTCCAGTCCTGGGGCTTGAACTCAGGGTCTATGCACTGTCCCTGAGCTTCTTTTGCTCAAGGCTAGCATTCTACCACTTGAGCCACAGCACCACTTCTGGCTTTTTCTGTTTATGTGGTACTGAGAAATTGAACCCAGGGCTTCATGCGTGCTAGGCAAGCACTCTACTATGCATTGTTTCTCATATCCAGCACATTTTGAGAAAATAGTATTGAATGAATGAATGAACAAATTGAGTAGGTGAACTTTCTCTGGTAATTTGGGGCAGTTCATAAGCTTTATCATTAAACATATATTAAACTATATACTCAATTTCACTTAAAGAATAAATAAACATATTTTTGTGGGATTTATGAAACATGGAAATTGTCACTTCTTTTCCTACAAGCCAGAATCATGAGGGCTCTAGACTACAACTTAAGAAGCCTTCAAAAAGCATGTACAGAGTCACCTTCTGACTTAAGATAGTGATTGATGGGCTGGGTGCAGTGTTCACAATTCCCTCTACCTGGGAGACTGAGATCTGGAGGACTAAAGTTCAGACAAAAGTTAGCAAGACCCCAGCTCAACAAAGGACGCTGGGTATAGTCGTGCATATCTATAATTCTAACTACTCAGGTAGCATAAATAAGAGAATCAAGGTATAAAGCCAGTCCTATCTGAAAAATAACTAAGAGCAAAAAGAACTAGAAGTGTAGCTCAAGTGGTAGGCACTTGCCTAACAAACTCAAGGCTCTGAGTTAAATGCCAGTATTGACCCCCAAAATTATGAAAGATATAAAATATATACAAATATAATATATAACATAAATATAAAAATATAAAATATGTTGTGGAGATGCTAGTATTGTAAGTCGAGAAAGTCAAACAGTTCTGAGATAATACTATATATTTCTTATCATTTCTAGACTCCTAGTTATTTTAGGTGAACTAATGTTAAAAGTAAAGTAGGAATCACATCTGTCAAGTATAGAAAGGAATAGCGGGTAGAATGAAAAACTACCTTACAAAGTAGAAAATCCACCAAATAAATGAGAGCTGACATAAGTTTTAGATTAATGACTACATAGAGTATGTTGCACTTTGTTTTACAAAAAATTGTTTTATGCTGGTATTGAACTCAGGGCCTGGTACCTTCTAGACAAGTAGTGCTCTAGTACTGAACTACACTCTTAGCACCAGAATATCATTTTTTGACAAATTGTATGCTGTTAATATAACATTTGGTCAGAATTGCCTCTTAATTAAGGGAAACATTTTGACAATAACCAGTGAAACTAACTTTTTAAATGCTTAAAGAAAAAAATTGATCTAAACTACATAAGTATCAACTAATTCTGATATACACAAATTATATGTCTATTATATATAATTATATAAAATCATATATGTAATATGTACTATAATAAATAACATGACAATATGTAATAAATGCATAATATATAATGTTAGATACATCTAATTTTATTTTGCTTGAGACAAGAGAATTACTATGTAGTCTAGGTTGGCCTTGAATTCATGATCTTCTAGTCTCAGTCTCCCCGTGTTAGGATTACTGACAGGTAGGAACTTCTATGCCCAGCTGTATTTTTTAATGCTGTGGTAATTTTAAATAAGCTTGCATTTAACATCTGCCCAGAAGTAATATTACAGGCATGAAATACTCACCTAAAAGTGCATTTTTCCCATTATCATCTGGTAGGAATCGCTTGTCTACAGCACACACTAGGATATGTTCAGGAAGATTGGGAGATTTGGCCCCCACCAGGAGGAATCCTGCCGGGATGTCGATTTGTTCCATACAGAGTGATACCAAACGCAAATCCTTTCCTGCTTGACAAAAACCTAGAAAGCAGTAAAAAGGAAATAGTAAAATATTTGGGGGGGTATGTTTTCTTATTTTCCCACTGGGGATAGTAATTTACAGGAATCATATCTAAGACTAAAAGGAAGGCCTATGGACTCCAACCAGAAGACAGATTTCTCCTATATGCCCTTCTGAATTGTGTTGAAAGGTACTAAAAGAAGATATTTCTATCTGGTTTGGTCACAACAATTCTTTATCTTTTGATCGACAAATAAGGCAATAACAAATGGACAACAAACTTTGAAAATTTCATTAAAAAAGCTTTCAAGTTTTTATAATTTTTATGTGCACAGAGCAATTTTTTCTTTCATTTTAACTTAATTCAAATTATCTTCATTTTTACTTAACCTAATTTCAATAGGGTTTTGTTACTTCCAACAATAGATGAATTGTTTATATGACAAATGCTATTTGGGGGAGATGTGTAAGGTTGGGAAATGTTTATCTGATACTCCACATACAAAGCTGGGGGTAGCACCATCATCACCACCCAAAAGAAAGTAGGGAAGAACCATGTTGGATTCTGCCAGCATTAAATCACATATTATTTTGATTAGCTGCCAATAGACAATTGAAAACAATCAGTGAAACACATGAGAAAAAAAAAACTGTACCAAACCATTGTATGAAACTGTAGTGCATAAAAATCTACCATAGGATCTGGGTCTTCAAACCTTAAACGCTCGTGATGGAACTGAAAAAAGTCAACATAACAAATCCTCAAACAATAAAGACAATGGAGCTCCACTATTTCAAGCTTGTAGATCTCACTTAACATTAACAAAAATTAGTTCAACTTTCACTGAAGGCCATGATATAAGAAAAATATATCCAAGTTACTATGAATTCTTTTACCATTCAAAATGAATCTACATTTTATTATTCAGTATAAAATCTATATTTATTTAGCAGTAAGCCATTTATATATGTGAACCATATTTGTTATTCAATTTACAGTTTGGGGATGCATGGAAACCTCTGGAAAAGTTCTGCTTCTTGTACTCTCCTTAATGGATAGTGTTCACAGGTTTAGGAGTTGGGAGTTGATGAGGATGACATTGATGGCAGTTAAAACTTGTGAAGTACTTACCAGTAGTCAGGTCTAGTTTGAACACTGTACTATATAGAATATCTACTTTCTCAAAATTTGTAGGATCATATAATTCTTTTCATAGATGTAGAAACTGAGTCTCTTTAAAGGCTAGAGAACTTGCCCAAGGTTATGTGAGTCCAGTAACATTCAATGATATAAAACATGGGAATTTTGCCACATAAGAACAGACAAAAGCATACTATTCATTTTGGCAAAAGAAAAGCTTAGAGCAGTTATAATTCAGTGGTAAAACTGTCAGGAATGAACATGGGCTTGCTCTCTTTCTCTTTCTTTCTTTCCTTCTTTCTCCCTCCCTCCCTCCTTCCCTTTCTCCCTTTCTTCTCTTCCTCCCCTCCCTTCCTTTTTCTTTCTCTCCCTCCCTCCCTCCCTCCCTCCCTTCCTTCCTTCCTTCCTTCCTTCCTTTCCTCTCTCTCTCTCTTTTTTGTGTTAGCACTGGGGTTGGTAGTTAATTGGAGATAAGAATCTTACAGACTGCTGTGGTGACAAATGTCGATAATCAAAGGAGGAGGATGAGGCAGGAGTTTGAGACCAGCCTGAGCTACACCTTCAGCAGGGAAGGTGGCTCAATGGTAGAGTGATTGCCTTGCATGTATGAGGCCCTGGGTTCAATTCCTCAGCACTACATAGGCAGAAAAAGCCAGAAGTGGCCCTCTGGCTCAAGTGGTAGAGCACTAGCCCAGAGTTCAAGCCCTATGACTGACACTCCCCCCCCCCAAAAAAAAAAAAAACAACCTCACAGAGTTTCTTGTGTGGGCTAACCACACTCCTCAGATCTCAGCATCCTGAGTATATGGGATTACAGGTATGAAACAGCCCAAGAGAACACAAACTTTTTAGTCAAATTCTAAAGTAGTATTTAGGAAGCATTTTAAAGTACTAAAAAGAGCACCATTAAATCAAAGAAATTCTAATTTGCATATAGACAATAAACCTGAAAATTTTTCCCTCAGGATATAATACCTTAATTAAAAGTATGACTTACTACAAAAGGCAAAACATTTCAAATATCACTCCAAAAGGTATAGGGATAATGAGAAGTCTATGGTTGCCTAGGAAAGGAAAACAGGGAGCTTTGGGAAGCTCTTGAAATGGTGATCCAACCTTTCTACAACATAGTCACTCTATAAGAAAGAGTAGCTGGGGGTTGGGAAGATGGCTCAGTGGTAGAGCGCTTGCCTTGCATGCCTGAGGCCCTGGGTTTGATTCCTCAGCACCACATAAGCAAAAAGAAAAGAAGCCGGAAGTGGCGCTGTGGCTCAAGTGGTAGAGCGCTAGCCTTGAGCTGAAGAGCTGAGGGACAGCACCCAGGCCCAGAGTTCAGGCCCCACAACC